AAAAAAAAAAAAAAGGATGAACCGCATTCTTAGCGACCCCCACCTGCCCTGCCTTGAGCCTTGGTGAAGGAGGTAAATCGCAGGTTATGCCTCCAAGGGTATAGGGTGGAAGACTACTGTATACTTACACTTACCCAAGGGTCGAATCCATATTTCAAGATTCGAACCCTTGACGCGACAGCCTTAAACTAAGTTGGAGTTTTTCCACTTTCCCCTTTTACCACTTGGAGATGTGCCCTAGGGGCAACATTGCTCATATAATACCTTTTCTCTTTCCGTCTTATAAGAACTTAAATAAGTAAATTTAATTTAATTAACATACATAACATTCACTTTGACTCTTCTTCACATCGTGTGAATTTTTACTAGGCTTCCAACTTAACATCCTATAAGCCAAGCATCAAATATTAACTTCATTTATATAAAAGCAAATATTGAACAATTTACGAAATTCTTATAATCTGATGTCCTAAGCTATTAATGTTTTTCCAACTCGGTACAGACATCGAAATTTATTATTATTATTTTATTTTTTGAAAAAATAGAATTGTTCCCAAGCAAGTTGTGCATACAATACATGATACAAACCCTTTGAGAGAGAGGTATAGATGAGGAAACCTGACAATATCAAATCCATTCTAATGGACCAAGGGACAACAGTGAAAGATTACACAGAACTATATCATCATATTAGAAACAACAAATGTGAAAACTCAGTAGTAGCCACTCTGGTGGGGAGGTGGATATGGAGACCGAACAGCGTATGGAGGGTGGGGCATATATCCAGGTTGTCGAGGTGAATTATAATATGGGCCTCTCCATCCAGGATATGCAGGTTGGTCAAACTCGTGACTCATAGCTGGCTGCTGGTGTTGTGGAAGGGGGTATGGATGACACGGAGCAGGCATGTGATAGGGAGGTGCTGACTGTTGTGGCATTTGCTGAGAGCTGTAAGGGGAAGGAACGTGAGAATATGCAGGCATTGTCGGCTGCTGAGGGGGCTGGTACGTCGGTGGTTGGAGATGAGAATTTGAAACGTTCCCAGGCTCTGTCGGTTGTGAAGAACTGATTCTTTGAACCTGATGAGGCTGCGTAACTGAAGGATAAGTGTAACCACCAGAAAACTTTCCGTCCTGAAAACTAAGACCTGAAATTTGTCTCTGAACATCATCCATCATTTCTCGGCACTGAATGTTTCTAGTCATCACAAAATCACTGCACTGCTGCTTTACGTTTGTGATTGCATCCTGTTTTACAGGAAAAAGTAAGTGATAATGAATTTCCTACATGACAAAAAGCTAGAAACTGTGAACGTAACAGACTTTTGATTATTTACGCAGAAAAGCTAAATATGATCAAACATTGAATCAAGGCAGTTATTGTTTGTTAGATGACCCTTGCATTGACTAGCAAGAGATGAGGTATTTCACCACCAACCCGTCTCAACACTGTTTTAGTTGTATGTGAGTGAGAGAGAGAGAGCAAGGAACGACACTCAAGTTTACCTTAGCCATTGAAAAGACAGCAGCAAGTTTGAGACTTGGTAACACTTCTGCTACATCTTAACTGATTTAGCCAATGATTGAGCCCCATTATCCAAATTTTTTTTTCCCAAGCTTATTTTCAACCACATATTTTCCCAATAAAATAATTAGCACATAAACCCAAAACATTTTCATACTTTCTAACCACACATTCTCCCAAAAATCACTACTACAAAACTCATTTTTTGGGAAAAATGGGGCTCAAACAAGGGCTGGCTTTGATGATTTATTTATCTTCTTAATCTTTCTTCTTCAAAGATCATCACATTCTTAAATGCACAGCATAAAGTTGTTTCATATTTAGACAAGTGGGAATCCTGTTCCCATTTTACTCTAATCCAATTACCGGAGCATTGCCAGTGCAACTAACAAATTGAGGCATATGACTATTACATTCCTTAGTGTTCAAATGCAAGCTTCAACCTGGGGGAAAAAAGTGATTGTAGTTCTTGTTTTTAAGCCCTCGCGTATTCAAATCTTAGTTTTTTTGTCACTAATAAATTCCTCGATTAAAAAATCAATACCTATGACAGAATTTTTGTACCTGGAGAGTAACATAGAATTTCAATCCTTCACCGATGTTCTCCTTTATTTCTTCGAATTTTGCTATGGCAGCCTCAATCTGCTTATAGCTCCTCTCAAGTGATGCTGAAAATTGGGATGAATGTCAACATAAAGCATACTTCATATAAAATACAGAATGGCAGCATCAGAAGTGGAGTAAATGTAAGTCCTGTTAAGACAAAGTCAACCACCGGTTTCAGATTGGAGGAGCGATTACATTTTAGCATGTGAATGTTAATAATGTGGTTTGTTTGCTCGTTGTGTTTAGCTTAAATTAATAATGAAACATATTCATTGTAATAATATGGAAAGAGACCTAAGAAAAAATAACATTGAAAAGACACACTTGTTCAGTAGAAAGAAGAATAAACATGCAGAATGCATACAGAAAGCATCTCTACTGTAGCCAAATCTCATGTAGGCCACCCTTCATAATATTCGACACTGCAAGGATCAGAAAGCCAATAATGGTAATATGACAAGCATGACACTGTTAAGAGATATGGCACACATCTACCAACTAAAGTCCATGCAAAAGAATTCTTTGATAGGTAAAATAAGCCAACTCAAAATACACACATCAACAGGCAGTCAGGCGCCAAGGGTGACATACATAAGGCATCTTAATTTAACAATAAAAAAAGATTATCAGGAACCATATTTCAATGGAATTCAAAAACAATTACTAAATGCATCCCTGGGTATGAAGCAACAAATATACAAACGGACAGACATTTATAATATGCATTTAAAAGCAACTTTTCTCTAAACAAATATCATCTACCAAGACATACCTTTATAATCTTCCAGATTAAAGATAGCAGCAAACTGATCATTTTGAGCCTGTACAGATAAAGATCATGTTAAGACAATTTCTTCAGTGACATGTACAGCTCTTCGATTAAGTCAATTGGCAACTGCGGGTCAAACAAAAGTCAAGAAATTCCATGACTGTATAACTTCTCATATAGAAGTAAATTTGTAGAAGGTTGGAATATCCTATTTAAAGATATTGAGATTCTATTATTGAAACACATTAGACATGGAATCTTGTTATTCTAGCACAAATAACAATTTACATACAAAACAAAAGAAAGAATAATGTAAAGTAAACAAATTGTGCTTTTAAGCTGAAAGAACCGTGCATCAATGCGTGTGGAATCACAAGCAAAACAGTGAAGAAAGCCTATTCTATAGAATGATGTTTGCAGAAAAGCCCAACACGCCTATAACCTTGTCATAGCTGAGCTAAAGAAACCCATTTATAAGTCTACCTGGAAACAAAACCATTTACCTAACTCTGCCCCCAAATGTCCTCTCTCTTTCAAGACCACCTGCTGACCACATTCCTTACTACCCACAAACACACCCCAAAGACACCATCCCACTGCACACACCAACCAAAATTTCACCTCCATAGCCTCACAATCCATCACCTTCCTCATCATCTGCAAACACCAAAGCCCCTTCCCCACCTTTCATAAACACCTCTCAATCTTCAGTTACCTTTGAAACTGATTTATTGCAGAATGTGCAGCTGATATTGTTATAACATTTGTGGCATCAGAGCTATTTTTAGTCTAATCTATTGATGTAGACGCAGAAGGATGCATCTTCATGGATTAATTTTGTTTTGACAGGAGTTTTCTTTGTGGTTTTGACGGTTGATGTTTTTCTCTTCTTTTTTGGTCATTTGAATTATCAATTTTAAAGTGTTCTGTAATTGTTAACTTCAATATTATTTCAGATGATTTACATCATGTGCAAGTCTAAAGAAGGGGGTGGTGGTGACTGGTGTGGCAGTCATGTAGATGTTAGAGACATTCCTCGTAACACCCCTAATTCTTACTAGACATGAAATTAGGATCTAGATGAAAAGGTTTGAAAGTTTAGGGACTAGATTATATGATTGCCTATAGTGGAAGGACCAAGCTCCAATTTTTCAAAAGTGTAATTTCTTGGTGTGTGAATATTAACCGGAAAAGGAATTTTTTGGCAAGAAAAGATAAAAGAAAAATAAGCTGAAATATGTTTTAGTATCTTTTATGTCTATTGGATAAAACATGAATTTTAATATTTTGTCTTGCTAAGGAAAATCATATATATTATGTTCTTCTAATATGTCAAGATAAGTATATACTAGTATGAATTAGTAAATAATCTTATGTCTTTCAGAAAGAAAGGATAGATTTGTTAGTCTAAAATCATGTATGTACTTTAATACAAGAATAAGTGAATTTATATATCCTTTGATATAAGGTAGATAATATAGTTGTTTATATATATATACACACTAGGTGCAATGCACGTTTGCCTAGTTTATATTTAATAGTTTTGTTTAATAATTAATTTGTTATTAATAAAGATGTAATTTTTTTGATTAATTAAATAATTAATGATGTAACGTTTATGTAATTGTTAAATAATTAGATGTGTGATTTTGATGTTATGATGTAAGTTGGTGAGATCGAAGAAAATAAGCAAAAGTTGACAAATTTGGAGAAATG